TGACAAATGCCTGAGTTGTGGCAAAATGCTACGCCAGAAATGAGCTGACGAAAGTACAAGCGCGCACTTTCTTCATCTGTACCACAATCAAGCTTGATCCGGTCAAATAATTCACCGCCTCCAGCCAATTCAAGAACCAAAAAAGTGGTGCATTTACTATCTTGTACGAGTTCCAGTGCTTCATCGAGACGCAAGACATTTTCATGGTACTCCAACCCCGCCATATTCGATATCTCACGATGAATCAATCGTCGAGTTTGTGCAAACTTGATAAACTTCAGTGGAATGCAAGGAATCTTGATCATTTGGTTCTTTACTTGAACTTCCTGATACAATTCAGCTAGGTCTGTTAATTGTCCGTCCGTATTGCTTTCACATTGACTCAGGAGTTCACCCCACACTTAAATACATTGAGGCAATGTAAGTTCTCGAACATGTCCTGTAAATGGATCTTCAATAGCTGCAATAGCTTGTTTCGACGTCGAGTGAATCAACCACCATACATTTTCCACACAAATCCGTTCCATTGTCATTTTTCTTGACCCAGCATTTGATCGTGAAGCATAAGATCGTCGATTACTTTTCCTGTCATTATCAGCTTGACAGTCCACCTCGTTTCGAGGCAAAGTCATGACGGGTTTGCCCTTTACAGCAACAAGACATCGAGCCAATAGTGTACTTGGACATAATTTGTAGCCAACAGGATTTAATATTTTGATGGCTACATGCTGTTTTGTTCGTGTGGAAAACGCTTCGTACACTCTAGTACCACACAAAAAAGCAAAAAAACGACAAAACAATCACAAATTTAGACAGTTTGTATCGAAAAACGTTCGAAAAGGTAAAAAACGTTCCGAAATGCTTGCAACATTTCGACTTACACGCCAGCTGCACCACCTCCAAGATATCCTCCAAGCTCATAGATAAGGTCATTATGACTGTAAATGGCTTGACCATCGTAGTGATCAACTTGTACAGTTTCTAACTTGCATCGCCATTCGTTCATCATAATGAACGGCGGATTATGAGGAGTCTTAAAGACCTACCGAGACTTCTTGCAGTAGAATCAGATGTAAAGTCAATGGACTGATAAGAAGCAGCTGCTAACAGGGAAAGGGATGATGGAAACACGCACTTTACAGCGTTCAAAGACGTGACGTTTAAATGCAGATGGACGCACGGGTGAGGGAAGAAGTAAAGCGTGCAGACAGCCCGTGGACAGTCCTTTGCTGCTGCATAGGCAGCAAGACTTAAATGAAGCCATAATCAGATCGTGAAGTTGATGTTTTGACCAATGATATCCTTGTATTTAGTTTTTTAACGAATCATAAGTGAGCATTGACTATTTTTGGATTGTAACGGATAAGACGGACGGAATGAAGTCATCTGGACGTCAGATTACACAAGGTTGCTCGAAGGGAAACCAAGACATGTCATTGGCCAAGCGAATACTGACGCAAGTTGCTTCATAATTCGACCCATAAATTGGAATAATAAGGAGATACCCTAGGGGTTGAAGTTAGCAAACAATAATTGTGATTGGCTCACAAACACATTGCAACCTACCCCCGTAACAACCCCTACATTGTGGTGTGTGTCACTCCAAGTATCCCTTTGACCCATTTCCGTCATTTAAGTCATGACCAACGCTCTGCTGCATGGTATCACACTAACGAACGCCCAAAATGAGTCCATTTTAGGCGAGACACTGGGTCAGAATGACAAAGTCTTGGCGCTTTACTTCGCTGCCGACTGGTGTCCCGATTGCCGCGCTTTTCAGCCAATACTCAATCGGTTTTACGAGACTACGTGCCATAGTTTGGACTTGGTATTTGTAGGCTCAGATGCTTCGGCAAAGGACCAGCTTGCACACTTTAAGGACAAGCAGGGCCCCTGGTGGATGGTGCCTTTTGATGGTGAGACACGTACGCAGCTTAAGCGTAGGTACGGCATATGTGCTGCTGCGGAGGTGACCGAGCTGAGCCCTATCATACGTAAGGGCGGCATTCCCACACTCGTGGTGATTCGTCACAATGGAGAGGTTGTGGACTTTTATGCAGCCGACAAGATTGAGCGTGAAGGCGTCAAGGTTCTTGCAGAATGGCAGCAGTGAGTGTACTGTAGTGTAAGAAGGGATGCAACGGATTCAATGGCTAGACCGGACTGCTCATTCTGTACTTTGCGGACATTGATATCTCCCCTTTAACAAGCCAACGCGTCCTCGGACTGCGTTCGAGCCAAAGGTTAGTTGCGTTTATACCGATGCGAATGCATCGACGGTCCTTAATTCCGACGTCGAGGACGTTAGGATCAACATGTTGTCAAAGTAGCACGCCAAAGCCGAGCACTATCCTCACACCGAGCTTCTAGCTCTTGACTCTCAACAAGAACAGCAGACAAAAGCACAAACGATGCTTTGCTTTTCTTTCAATATAAACTGGACAGGACTTCAGCATAAAGAACATATAAAAACAAAGAGTCCATTCATCCCATGGCCGTTGATGTCACGTCGTCCGTTTCTTTTGCCCTAGGCAGTTGCAGACACGACAACACTCGTTGCTTCGGCATACAGGCAATTACCCAATTCTTCAAATGTATCCGGGCTAATACGATTCTGCTCCATTGCTACAATCATTTCATTGTATAATGCATTGCCCAATGCTGCAAACATATCAGCTGTAAACCCTTGAGGCATGATATTGTCGTCATTAGTGTCCACCGTCGACAATGTCTGCAGGTCACGCATGATCACACCAGAAGGCAGTTTCATCTCCTGCAACAGTGACCGCAGTCCGTCATCATGTCTGCATCGTCGTCGTTGAGTCTTTTTCTCCTCTCCTAGTTTTGTTACGGCAGTTTGAACTCTCTCACACTCGCTGTCATCTGATACCTCATCCGTAGCAGCTTCAAGCTCCCGGAAGAGTCCGTAGAGCGTCTGCAATCGCGCCCAGGCGTGTGCAGCATTGCGCTGCTCGTCCAAAGACAGTTCGGCTATGTGACTTTTCTTTGCCTTTGCTGCTTCTTCCGCAACGATCAAATGCACACCAGAGACGTCTTCCGGACGTTTACGGAAAAAGTTACGGATGGATTCATCGTCACGTAGACTCGTGTATGCGACACTAGGACTCGAGGGGTAGTCTTCTTCGTCACTGGATGATACACCGCCGCCGTTATCGTGGCCAGTGGGCGCCGGTAGATGCAATCGAGTACGCTGAATCGCCCGGCGCAACATTATAGCAGCGGTTCTAATTATGCGTCTTCATTTTTCTATGAGAATTTGAATAGGGAGGTCGATGAAGATGCGCTATTATAAGGTTACGTATTCTCGGTCTTTTCGCTTTACCAGTATCCTTAACAGGTCCAGTTAAAGTTCAAAATAACGTTATGCTAGCATACACAAATATGCACGCCATAACCTAAAGCTGTACTTATTCTCAGAGCGGGGATAACCACGCTACATTACTAGATACTGGGTTATGGCCCTGACGGCGACATCGCATTAGATACCTCTACACATGGTAATGAAGTTCAGAGCAGAGACGGTGGTGGCCGGTGCACCGACGGACCCATACGATGAGCTTCGTAAATAAGAGTATGTCGAGCTGAGTCGACAGATTAAACTGACGCACGAGGTGACGCAAGTGCCCTCAAATTACATGTGGCTGGATTCCGGACGGCAAAAGCAAGTCAACATGAACGAACGGGATGTATACGCACCTTATGCGGATGGTATAGCGTGTAACCTAGACCCTTTTTGACCGACCGTCTCCGATAAAGCGCGAGCGCTACTTGTCTTATAGACTCGATCCTTAGATCGCCTCGCAACTTACCGGTAGAAATTGCATGTGTAGGTAGGTTTCAGTCAGGAGAAAGCTTTAGGTATGCGTACGCATAGATGACAATTATATCTCGTTTCCCTCCATATCAACCAGCTTCCTTTGCAACAGACTTCTTCGAATCGCCTCAGCTCACAATACCGTCCTGAACAGCATCGTTGTAAATTCTCGCTGGCGTATATCGCCACAGCGCGCCGCCATACGCGGTGACTGGTGACTAATTCTGCAAATGGTGCCAATTTGTGCAAATTACTGGATGCAGCATTTTGTCATTAAGAGTCTGGAGACATACGCACAGCAGCCTATCATGGGAGACATAAAGGAAAGGATGCGCAGCTGATGGCTATATCGTACGCAAATGCTGGCACAGGCGGGCGACAATATTGGATCGCCTTCAATGTAAAGGCTGTACTCCTGCTGTCCAATAACTTCAAGGCCGTTGTTCAAACGATACGAGGACGGTTCCGTCTTGGGAAAGGACATGGTCGACCATTTCCTAACACAACGCAGAGAGAAGATGCCGGTTGCTGTGTAACAGCAACAACTCGCTCGAGGAGGTGTTTGTTCGCACCGTTCGCTGGTTTCTCAATCTCACTGATTGTAGAGGACAAGTGACTGTCCTGCCAGAGCAATAGAATCTGCATCCTCCCAGCGTTATTACTGGTCTTTCTCGGCATTGGAGCCGTTTCAAAATACACTAGTGGCTCTTGTTAAAGCCGTTTTGTGTTTGGTATTCCAGGACCGTTTTACTGCGCCAGGCGACTTGCTGGCCAGAAATTGACTCGACCAGACTATGCTACTGGTTCAGCAGCATTGATCTATAAAGCTACATGAATAAGGTGCATTATCGAGTGCCTTACTGAAGCCATGTGGAACTTGCCTTTTTTTGCGCCTTTTTGTTCGGTCTCTAATCAGTTTTAATCTTGTAATTGAACTAAAACAATGAAGTGGACCACCTTTTTTCGTCATTTGTTACCCATTTTTAAAGAAGAAAAAATACCGTAACGTAAAAGCTGAAGCCTCTAGCCATTCGACGATTAGCTCACGTTCCTTGCGCGTTCTGTCGCCTCTTACACTCTCTCTCTTCCTCGTCGTCCTTTACGATCTCACAAGCTTTATCATCACCCTGGATACCTCACTAAGTATTTCTTTATACTCACGATAATGGATCAGAATCTTGGAAATTCCGAGGCTGTTCACTTAGCACAGGCATCGGACTGGAAGGGATTACAACGGCTATTAGAACGAGATCCATCGATGGCTAAGCAACGTGGTGATCACGGTATGCTTCCTATCCATTGGGCTTGTACTGTACGTCGTGTACCATTGTCCCTTCTTGCAAAACTACTTCAAGCATATCCGGAAGGAGTTCAAGCTAAAAATGAAGGGGCATTACTGCCACTTCATATTGCTATTCGAGCACGTGTACCAGCTTCATGTCTTCGAAAACTTGTACGTGCTTATCCGGAAGCTGTGAGTGAACGGACACCGGATGGTGTCTCGGCTCTGAAAATGGCACAAGACATTGGACTGGATGTAGATAGTTTAAAGGTGCTTTATCGAGCGCACGAACGGACGAGTCTTATTCAGCAACATATTAGTGGAGATAGCAGCTCATATGATCGACGGAATGTGGAATTTGATTCGAAACGAGGGATGAGTGAACAGGAAAAAGGTGAAGCTTCTTGGATCAAAAGACCGGAAGATGAAGACAATGAGTGGACTGATACTATTGTACCGGAGCCTTTCGTGGGAAATACTGACTTTGGCGGGTTTCTTTATGTCGGTGATGATGGGGAGCTAGACGGGGTTGAAAAGTCAGCTTTGGAGCCAGAAGATAGCATCAGTATGATGAGTGAACAGTCACTGCTGAGCGACATTGACGGACTTGACACGCCACATGACCATCTTGTGTCGCCATTTTCGACTAGCATTGGCAGCCAAGATGACGTCAGAACTCCAAGCTCTGGGTTGTCATTTAGCACTGCCCGACTTCACTCCGGCAGTCGTCGCGGATTACTTGAGGATCGGAGCCACCAGAAATTTCAATTGAAGCAGAAACGTATGCAAGACACAGCATCGTTGCTTGCCCAGCTACAAAAAAATGGTGTCGTCTCGGAGTGTGAGCTGCGAACGATGATGTCAGCGATGAGTGCCGATGCTGCTGTGGGAAGAAACGAAGAAGACGCACCGAGCCGGATCCACAGTCGTCACCTGTCGCTACCCCTCATGCCTAGCTACGAAAACTTCCAACAGAATTTAAGCTTCCAATTCTACAATGAGGCGAATGACGAGGCTGAATACGGCGGTAATGACAGCATTGAAGGAGGTGCGACAGGTGCTCAAGTCGGTCCAAAAGACCGGCTTTTTCATTCAGCACGAGGACTCTCTCGGCGATCAGCTACACGTAGCGGGTCACAAAGAGGCTCGCCGCCATTGTTCCGAAGGCCACATCGTCGGGCGTCACACGGATCAAATGACCGAGACCATTTTGACCTTGCACCTGAGTGGAAGCATGACGGCGAATGCTCGATCTGCCGTGCCAGTTTCGGCATGTTCAAGCACCGCCACCACTGTCGCAATTGCGGCAAATCTATCTGCAGCCAGCACAGTGCGGACAAAAAAATCTCGATCGAAGATAAGGGGTTTACTACCCCGCAACGTGTGTGTGTCACGTGCTACGCCATGATCACACATAGTCGATCGCTAAAGCATGACCTTGAGCTTGAAGACAATGGCCGTGACAGTTCATTGCTCAACCCCGTTGCCTTTCAGCAGCACTGTGCGTTCACTTCAGGAGCTGGTGCTAGTGATCGTTATGGTGCTGATGATGCCTCTTTTCCATCTTTGACTGCCCCGTTGCCCAATCGAAACATTGCTCTTGGAGGTTCGCGAAGCTTCACCATCAGCGATCGGAGTCTTAGTGCATCGCCTACATTTGGACGTAACGGAAAGTCTCGAAATCCAGGTGTCCTAGCTGCAAGTGAATCAACTGGAGGAGCTGGGGATCGCAGTACCACAAATTATACGTCAAGACTGAGCGGGGCACCGTCCTCAGCTGTGCACGAGCTGCGTAGTTTACTGGCTTCACAGCAAAAGCAGATTGAGCAGCTTGCTCAAAGCAACATGCAGATGCAACAGCAGCTTCTCGAGCAAGAAGAGTTAAAAGCTGAGACGATGCTGCTTATTACTCAACTGATGACACGCGTTTCAGTGCTAGAACTGCAACAAGATCGAAGTTTCCGAGACAACAAACGCCAAAGTGTTGGAACTGGAGACAGCGAGGATGAGGACGAGGAGTTTCCTCAAGATGACATCAGCCCGTGTAAGCGGTAGCCGTTCGTTATCTTTCCAGCACCAACAAGACAATGAAATGAATGAAAATTGGTACATGATACACGAGCGAGCCTCCTTTTCAAGTGTGACTTGAGCACTTAATCAACCAAACAATAGCGTTTTTATTTAGAAAATCTTGTAAATTCTCTCATTCCTGCGGCTTCCTCCGTGTCTTGTGCATCTGTAAAGTTGCTGCTTTATCCAGCAACTCTACGTATGCGACGGGGTCTTCTCGGGAATATCGGAATGTGCGCTGTCCTTCTTGTTGAAACGCGAGTTGACAGTGTCCATGACGAGGTACACGCCAAAGATAGCGGAAGCCAAACCCAGACCTGTAAAGGGTTTCTTGGCACAGTTGGAGATGAAGGGGTGGCTTCTCCACGCGTCCTGATGAGCAAGAACCTGGAGTCGAGTGAGCTTCTTGACGACCGCAAATTATATCTAATGCAACTTTGCAAGAAGATGTTGCCAGTACGTAAAGTTGCACGCTGCTTATATAAACTTCAGTTGTTTTTTTTAGCAACTCAAGTGATTTCAAAATTGACTACCACAAGACAGAATGACGGTATGACATGCACTTTATCCTTTCTGAAGGATTTACTATCATGTTTCGTATGCCTTTGGACAGGAGAAATCAAATGCTCGGAAAGGAGGATCAGGTGTAGCCAACGTAGCTCGACAGACATGGGATCGTGAGCATTATGAGAAACTCGCGGAGCTTCGTGCGAATGGTCAATTCGAGACGACACAGGTGAAGGCGTTCTTTGTATTTAATGATTGTAACATTTTATACAGCATTTTCATATGTAATTATTGATACATTTGTATACAGACGAAAAAAGTGATTGCGTCTTCAAAAGAGGAGTTCCAGACTGCTAATGAAGGAGCTGCAGGACCTGCGGGATCAGCACGAGCGTTTCTGAAGGCTCGTTCTGCTAAAGTAGCACTTGAAAATAGTGTGGGCACGATCAAAGTGGTGAAATCGGATGAATTAAGTAAACACGGTGGTTATTATTGCGAGGTGTGTGAGTGTGGCCTCAAGGATTCGGTGGCTTATCTGGATCACATCAATGGCAAAAAGCGTACGTTGGTCTTTTACTTTTATAATGTTTCTTTGACTGAAGAGGCAACTTGTTTCGGTATATTGCTGACTGTGCTACTGTTTTGTGTTGCAAAGATTTGCGCAAGCTTGGCTTTAGTATGCGAGTGGAACGCTCGACAGTGGATCAGGTGAAGAATCGATTGCAGAGCGCATCCAAGCGTAAATATGACTTTATAACGACAAAGAAGCTGGACACGATGGAAGGTACGTTGCTACGTTGCTATTGACGACGGTGTTGTGTCGTCTTGTGAAATCTTGGAAGGATATAAGTCGTGCTCATACTTTTGATATGTGCACATTACAATTTGAACGAATAGATTACGAGAAAAAGTTGAAGGCAATTGAAGAAAAAGAGGCTCAAGCGAAGCAAGAGAAAAAAGAGCAGAAGAGAGCCAAGAAATTGGGAAAACAGGTATTGGACCTCGACATGAAGCACCATAACGTTGTGGAAATCATATCTGATGCTGATGATAAAGTTCCTGATGACACTGAGGCGGAGATGATGGCCATGATGGGTTTTGGTGGGTTTGGTGGCTCGAAAAAGTCGTGAAATTGATCATCTGATACATCATCAGTAGCCAGCATAAACGTAAAAACGAAATGATTGTATAAACTGTGTTATTATTTGATTAAACATAGATATTATGTATTCAAGGTATTCAATGCTGTCCCAGAAAAATTGTCAAAAATGCCTTATTTGGTATTTGAACATCCTTAAAAGAGGCTGGAATATTAACAGAATAAATACTCGAGCCAATGTCTGGTTTTGACCGTCATGACGCGTCGCTTGCGCCACGTGGACAGCGCTACAGCACACACAACTCTCACCAAGATCATCCTCCTACTTCTACGCTAGTGCTACGTGGTCTTCCACGCACTGTCACTGATAAAATGGTACAAACAACTAGACTCTAAATTTAATCGTTTAGATCAATTCTAAATTAGAATAGATACAAATATTTAGAACATGATCGAAAACTGGAGTAGAACAGAATGAGTCGAGATATATTACCGAGCTACAGCAACGTGTCAATTACTTACCGTACACATCGTCATTTCTCGTCCAGATTCTCCGTGCTCTACAATCTTTTCAGCCATTACAAGCTCGAATCATTTACGATAAGGTACTTGAATTAGAATTCTAAAATTATGTAAAATACAGTTCTAATTTTTATAAATATTTTTATTGATATTGTAGACCACTGGAGAACCTCGTGGACTTGCTTTTGTGGACTTTGATAGTGTGGAAAAAGCAATGGAAGCCATGCGCACATTTGGTACATAATTTTGATTTTTCTAGTCTCTTTTTCTCTCTCTCTCTATCGCATTTTAACACGTTCTAAATTTTGTGTTTTTGTAGAGTTGAGACCTCTGACATTACAGAATCGCCACGTGAACATCAATTATACGGACGGATTTCGTCGAGATGTTACCTCTTGTCGACCGAGAGACGCAACTGGAGGGTTTCGACATGAAAATCACTATCAAGGACAGTCCAGGCAAACACGACCAGACTGGATTTGTGATGAGGTTTTTTTTGTGTTGCTGTGGTTGACTGTTGATTCTTGTGGGCTAATTGCTCTTTTGTGTGTGTTGACAGTGCAATGTGATAAATTTCGCTCGTCGAACAAGCTGTTTCCAGTGCAACGTACCAAAGACAAGTCAAATGAAAGAGATTCCAGCAACGGCAGCATATCGCGCTGATCATAAGCGTAGCCACGACGACTCTCAGTGTGGCGGAGAGACGGGAAACGGCGGTTCATCTTTGACTGCACCGTCATCTTATGGTGCTCTGTCAAGAGATGGCGAGAAAGCATTTCGAAGATGTGGCCCGGGTCTAGACTCTGCCTGGAGCGTTCCTCCATCACATGTACTAGTGGTGCGCATGCTCCCACCCGATATTGAGGAAGGCGAGGTGCGTACGTTTGTGAGCCTGATCATTTTTTTGCTACCACACCTGACTTTATAATGGATTCTACTTGCAGCTTCACGTGGCATTTGCTGAGTGTGATGGTGTACAGGATATTCGTTTGATCCGAGATCGCGCAACCAATCTGTCACGAGGGTTCGCCTTTGTCGAGTTCCGCGACATCGAAGTACGATTCGGTGTTGTAATTTTGCTAGCGCTATGCTGACGTAAATCTGTGGTCGTCGTGGCGTTTGTACGAATTGTTATAGACAGCGACGAATGCTTTAAACCGATCTCAAGGCTTAACTGTACAAAACACTCGCGTGGATCTGTCGTACGCGCGCGATACTCTCTCAACGAGATCACACCATTCGGTGGATTCGCTTGAAGGATCGCGCACTAGTAGTTCGATGGCAGTGACAGCATTGGAGCAAGCACAGTGGTTGCTTTCTCAACGACGCGAGGCTGACACGGCGGCGCAAAATGATCAGGTGAACGCATGTTACATTTTTGTTTGCTGAACTGGATGAGACCCTCGTCCCGGGAGTACGAAATAAGTTTCTAATCTTCAAGGATGTTACCCTGCAACACGCTGCTTGAATACTGCATTGCTCAACTCTTTCTGATTGTGATCTTCAGCAGAACAGCGTTGCAGCAGATGTAAGCGCTTTTTTGGATAGTGCTGCGGCTCAAGTTGCTCCGCTCGTTCAAGAACCGAAGAAAATGTGGCCTGCACCATTCGAGACAGCAGGCGGCAGCTATGTGTATGTCAGCGAGAAAGGCCTATACTGGGATCCAGACAGCATGTTCTACTATGATGCGCCCACCAAGGTTTACCAAAACTCGTTTACAGGCACGTATTACCGGTGTGTGAACCCTACAAGTAGCGGAGCGGCAGCATTTCAGGTTTTTGTGCCGCCACTGCCTGTTGATGATGAAGCATATGAAATTTCTACCGCTCCAAAAGTTGATGTAGCGATCAAGCCAGCATTGAGCCTATCATTGAAGAAGGACAAGAAGAAGGCTTTGGGCATTTCGCTTGGTGTTAAAACTACTGCTTTTGCGTCGGCTTCGTCGGTTTTTATGAAAACTAGCCCGGTCGGAAACGGTGCCACTGCGCCTTCAGTCAATGCTGTCAATATGGCTAGCATCGGGATGAAGCGCAAGAGTGCAGATGATATCGCGAAGTGGTCGCAACGACAGCGTGAAGCAAATGAACCGAAGAGTGAAGAGCTTAGTACAGCACCTGTTCAACAGCAACTCTTACACAGTACAGCGCTAGGTGTATCGGCCGTCAGCCGAGGCGAGGCTGCAAAGTCTAGTGCTACCTCGCAGCAAAAGGCGACGACAACTGTTTCGTCGAATGCTGTGGATCCTGTTATTGAGGCATTGACTACTGTTCCTCTAGAAGCACCCATTTGTCTGGTAAGCTTAAGATTATTCTTGCGACCCTATGTAGCAGGCTAACGTATGATTATCTTATTTGACACCGATAGCTCTGCCGGCGAAAGTTCGGATCTCTAGACATTCTTCGCAAGCACGAAACATTGTCAAAGTTGCACCTGGCCAACTTAGCGAAGGCTAAAGAGAACAAGCAACACATTGCTGCGCAGTATCGTGAACATGAAAAGGAGCTGGAGCGAGATGCCAAAAAGCAGCGGCAAGATGATTATGCGCCATCAACTCAACCGTTTCGAAACAATCAATGGAGCGCTCCTACGTCGTCGAAACCCGATCCTGCACCTACAGCTAGCTCTCTTGAGTCCGGTATTGGTGGTAAAATGCTCAGGATGATGGGATGGAAGAGCGGCGAGGGTCTTGGCAAACACGGTACGGGCATCACGGCCCCGATTAAAGCAGCTAGTGGTCGGAGCGACTTGGCAGGTCTCGGTTGTAAAGCACCACTTTCGACCTCCGTAGACTTCTCGGATGCTACCTGTGATAAAGAACGCCGACAAAAACTAGTTCGTGCGCGGTACGATGCCGACAGTGCGTAGGACATAAGAGATTCACGAAAGCATACAAGAAAAATTGAATGGCGCACATTGCGTTGTGCTGTGGTTAAAATTGTTGCTGAAAACAAGAGGCTGCGATGCTCATGGAGCAGGAGCCGTGATTTGATCTCTGCTAGTACATCAGAGCAGCTTCTGCACAGCCTTCTTCAGCAAAGACTTCTTGTAGCCTGAGATCTTCTCGTGGACCTCTTTGCCATCCTTAAAGAAGCGGAACTCCGGGTATGCACCGACCTTAAGCTCATCCTTCAGCTTTTCCACTTCGGGGATTGAAACATCCATTTTCGCAAACGTCACCTCCGGGTAAGCCTCGGCCAGGCTTACCACAGTTGGCTCGATCTGCGCACATTTGCCGCACCACGGAGCCATAAAGTCAGCCACAACAGGCTTACCGCTCTTGATCAGCTCCTGGAACTGAGCTTTGGTTTTCACCAGCGTCAAAACAGCAACATCATCGTCTTCTCCATCGTCGTCCTCACCAATTTCCTTGACCGATGAAAAGTAAACGTGGCTCCCCGTCGGGTTGGCATTGATGGTCTTTTCACCGGGCTGCCAGTTGGCAGGGCATACCTCTCCGTGCTCCTCAACAAACTGCAGCGCCTTAATGAGACGCAGAGTTTCATCGACACTACGGCCAATTGGCATATTGTTGATCGTAATCTGTTGAAATGACTTTAGTAATGTCCGAAACAATGGGAATGTCCATCTTCCCCAATCCCCCCTTGTTACGAGGCAGACGTGTCCAGGCCAAGTGACTCTCGGGTGAGTCACAGGACGCAGCAATCAGCTGCGTATTAAGTGCTTTAAATTCCTCTGCCCGGTCATTGAATGCAATGATCTCAGTGGGGCACACGTACGTAAAGTCCTTTGGGTAAAAGAACAGTACCACGTACTGACCACGATACATGTCCAATGACACGTCCGTAATCTCTCCATTTACTACCGCACGGGCAGTAAATGGAGGTGCTTGACACTGCACACGGGCATCAACAGGGGGGGTACTGCACAAAAGAATCATCTTCCTCATCTTCAAGAAATAAATCATTGTCATCATCGGTCGCAAAGGAGCGTATGGACGTGAATTGAAGAGATGGACGAGTGAAATGAACGGGATTCAAAACAAAAGGAGCAGCAGCACGAGGCACCACATGCGATCGAAAGGCACGAGCGATCGAAAGGCGACGAATAATGGGCACAATACGCATTTTTAGTATTAGAGACGGTGGTGATTGATATTCGAGAAATGAGTTTCTGACCCTACGTTTAAAATAGATGAATTGAATCACTGGAGGTGAGGATGATAAGTGTCTTTTGAATGTATTTCTCCTCTTATTTTTGGTCAATTTTTTCGATTTCTAGCCATCAAACCATGTCGTCGTTATAAATTTTGATGTTTACTATGTTTTATAATAGTGATTTCCATGAAACCATAAAACCCATGCGTGTATCGTCGTCTCTCATAGTCTGTCACTTTCAATCGTAAAAACAGGTGCGACATCTCCGTTGTGTGACAGTTGAGGCTTTCGATACGTCCCGTCTCGCTTTCGCACTCTTTTCATACGTTACCTAAGTTCAATGGCTAAATGGAGAATGACGACGCTAACGATATTTACAACAAAGCAAGACGCGCGCCTGTACATTCAGTATTCTGAACGATATCGTGCTTTACATTCATCGTCCTCGAAATCTTTCGTGGACAACCTGTAACCAAGATGCAAGCTACACGGGAATTACTGTTTCAGCTGTGAGCTTGAACTTGCAAAGTACTGCTGTATATGTTTGTCGTAGGGCTTGACATTGTCATAGAGATGGTAGAGCAAAAACGGATGAAGAGAACACGCCTTTTGCTTTGTTCTGTACGACGTCCGCAGACATTGTTCAATTTTCAAGCACATCTGCGGGCCCAAGATAGAAAGAGTATCATGAGTACTCACAAGTCATATCCAAGGAATGTACTATGTCAGAATGCCAATGAACCACATTTCCACGCAAACAAGAGAAAGAGACTAGAAGATAAGAAAGGAGTGTCTTGCATGAGTATTTTTGAGCCAAATCCGTCACAAAACGTGGCTCACTAACTAGGGTATCGTCGACGTACGTCCCGTACTGAAGGTGCATTGTTATCGCATCTTGCAAGTCGAAGTCACACTCATTTTCTCATAATACAGTTCAGCTAAGCATGAAATGCACTTGACATCGACTTTCTTTCGTCAAACTTATCATGTATCACTTTATCATTTGACTCCCATGAACAACAACGACCATGTGCGATTGAAAAATTCTGCGCCACTGTCACGTGCAATCTCCGACCATTTTCAAGACTTCGGTAGGGTAATTTTTTTTCGGCATCGATTGAGTACATGTATGAGCACAATACTTACAAAGCCCTTGTTGTTGTTCTATAGGTGCCATTCAGGAAGCTCTCAGGTAGAGATTATTCGACTTAGTTGGGTATCTTGGTTTTTGAGCAGCTGCTAAGCTATGAGCTTTGTAACGATAGCTCAACTACTTCACTGTGCTGCCAAATGAAAAGTAGTATTAAGAGTTAAACTACTACTAAAATAAATGTATAAACCCTTCATAAACTGATCACACAATCCAGATCATTCGAAGAACACTGTACCATGCAAGTTGTCCTTTTCACGACACACACATCACTGACGTAATTCGTGATCCTCTACACTCCCCTTCAACTTGCACTCTCGCAAATTCCAGTTTCATCGCGTAGTCGCATCAATTGTGGAGCACCAAGCGGCTTCGTCAGGTAATCAGCAAGTTGCATAGCTGACGGAACATGTTTGAGCTGGATATCACCTTGCTCAATGTGGTCTCGAACAAAATGCATGCTAAGGTCAATGTGCTTAGCTCTTGGAGTATATCCCTGATTCGTCGCAATACTTATAGCCGACTTGTTGTCCATGTGCACTGTAGTCGCAGTCTTACATGTGACACCCATCTCTTTCAGCAAATAACGAATCCACATAACTTCTTGCGTAGCTAGTGCCAGTGCCATATATTCCGCTTCAGCAGAGGATAAAGCCACCGAACTTTGGCGTTTGCTTTTGTATACGACAGCTGCACCTCCGAGTAAAATCAACACTCCAGACGTAGATCGACGAGTTTTCTTATCATTTCCCCAATTCGCGTCACAGTATGCCCAAAGCATCATCTTTTTGTCGTCCGATTTGTTATACTTAATTCCGTGCGATTTTGTTCCCATGAGATAGTGTAAAACACGTAAAGCCGCTCGCCAGTGCATCTGTCGTGGCTGGTCCAAGTACTGCGATAATACTGACATCGCGTAGCTTATGTCCGGTCGCGTTGCATTCGCAATATACAGCAGCGAGCCGACCAATTTGCAATACGAAGTAATGTCTTTAACCACTGGGTGTGATTCATCCGGAGTTAGGTCCTGTCCTGCGCAGATAGGGTTGCGAACTGCATAAGCTTCATTTTGCTTAAATTTCGAGACCACCTTCATAATAAATTGGGACTGTTTCAACACCAACTCCCCCTTTTCTTGTGAGTAGTTAACTTCCATGCCCAAAATAAACCGCGCAGCTCCAAGTGACTTGACAGTAAAATGTTCTGACAATTCCTTATAAATCGTGTCCGCCTCTGCATCTGAATTGCATCCAATAAGGAGGTCGTCCACATACAAGACTATGTATGTGGGTGACTTATTTTTTGCATTATTGCGTCGAACAAAAAGACATGTGTCTGCTCGACATTGTTCGAAGCCCATGGCCGAAAACACAGAGCATATTTTCTTGTGCCAAACCGCAGCCGCTTGTTTTAATCCATATAAGCTGCGTCGTAATTTGCACACCATTCCAGGTGCAATTTCAATTCCATATGGTGCCTCCATGTAAACGTCTTCTTCCAAATCACCATTCAAAAACGCCGTTTCCACGTCAAATTGTCGAATTACATATTGCATACTGCAACAAACAGACAAAAATACACGAATCGTGTTTGAGCATGCTACAGGTGAATATGTGTCGAAGTAATCAAAACCATGCGTTTGCAGATATCCGAGGGCAACCAAGCGTGCTTTGTAACGAACAATTTGACCGTTTTCATCGTACTTGTAACCAAATACCCACTTGTGACCAATGACCTTGACACCTGGAGGACGATTGACAGCATCCCATGTGTGGTTCTTAAGATGAGCATTAATTTCTGCTTGAATTGCTGCCTTCCATTTTTCTGCGTCCATCGACTGTAACGCCTCTCGTAAATTCATTGGTACATCAGTAGCAGAAAGCGATATTTCGTAATCGTCAACACATTGACGTTTAGGGTCCGGCTCTTCATTTATGCCATCGACAGGTGATCCATCAGTTAAAAGCGGTAGATCAATCCTCTCATCGTCAAAATCATCATTCGTGAGTAGACGAGATGACGTGAATGTACTATAAGGTCTTTTGTTCGACCCTGAGTATATCTCCATTCGATCATCTGGGGCACGGGAATTCTCACAAACTATAATAGCTCGCGACTGATCAGGTATTCCAGAGAGCATGTGTGTACCATTATTGCTACTTACAGCGACCGATCCGTGTGAAGTACGACGTATCATCGAATTGTTTGTGTCAATGACTTGTAAGTCTGTGCGCTCCCCCTCAATCGGAACAACATCTAAGTTTTGTGACTGATTGAGATCTCCAGACGCATCCACAACCATGTCTTCCCAACTAGTATCATTGTCAGCAGTTTCATCAACTTCCATTTCGTCATCCTCGTTATTCTTGTTCAAATCAGGTACTTCCACCTTTACTTCGTCTAAATCATCATGATAATGATTGCATTGAGCTAAAGGTTCACCTAAAACAACAACATCTTTGTACCGCGAAGGAGGACTCTCGTTTAGCGTAAACGGACCTAGTCGTAACCAATTGTCCTCTCGCAATATCCCACACTCGGTACGCCTTTGAATTTTCCGAATACCCGAGAAAAATACACTTGTTTGCCTTGCTGTCCCATTTAGTGCGCTTGCAATCCGCGACTCGTAGATAACCAGTCGAACCAAAGACACGGAAATGACTTAAGTCTGGCTTCGACCCATACAGAGTTTCAAATGGACTAACGTTGGGTCGCGCAGTATTAGGAATTCGATTGATGGTGTAAGCAGCCGCCATAATCGCCTCACCCCACCAAGAACGATCAACTTCCATGTGATATATCATTGATCGGGCCATCTCAACAAGAGTTCGATTCATCCTTTCTGCTAAGCCGTTTTGTTGAGGATTGTACGGCACGCTCCTCTGGTGGATAATCCCTAGATCTGCACAGTACTTGTTAAAGCGATGATTCGTATACTCTCCACCATTGTCACTACGGATGCATTTAATCTTGCAATCCGTTTGCTTCTCCACCATAGCACGAAACGCCTTAAATCGCTCAAAAACTTGGGACTTTGCTGCTAGCAAATATACGTAGACAAATCGACTGTAGTCGTCGATAAATGTGAGTACATATAGAGCCCCACCTTTCGACTTCGGATTCATAGGTCCCATAAGATCGGTGTGTACAACCTCAAGTGGTCGACTTGTTTTAACTTCACTTCCTGAAGTATGACTGAACGGGCTGTTTGTCATTTTTCCGCGTGCACATCCATCACATACACCGCCATCAGATGCGACAACTCTCGAAATACCATCGCAAGACTTCATCGCTTGCATAATCTTTTTCGTAGACACATGACCGAGGCGAGCATGCCACAGTCCACTAGTGTCATTATCGCACCACTGCTCTCAGCCTTGTGTGCCTCTAACGTGATATGTTGTTTTACATTCCACGCAAACAGCTTTCCCACTCGTTTAATTACTGCTACAGTCACGTCGTCACTTATCAAAACTGCTTGATCACGCTTGAACTGAACAAGCACGCCTCGGGCCGTCAACGCTGCTACAGACACAAGTTTCTTGTCTAGCCCAGGCACATACAACACCTCCGTAAGTTTGACTGTACGACCATTTTCGAGTATAAATCGAGCTTTGCCTGTTCCTTGCGCCTTCAACTGATGTCCATTTGCCACAGTGATGTAAATTGGGGTAAAATCTTCGTATTCCACAAATTCACGCTTGTCATCAGTCATATGACGACTTGCCCCACTATCCAGCAACCAAGTTGAATTCGAAACTGGTTCGTCACTGAATGCCGAAAAAACGAATTCATCACCAGGTCTCGATGGTTTCACGTTACGACACTGCGATCTCTTGTGTCCATGCCGGCCACACGCAAAGCATTTGCCTTGAAAACTCGCATAAGCTTTTCCTTTCCTCGAAGCTTGGTAGCGATCTCGATTTTCTTCTTGACCACGGTGTCCTCGGTTACTTTGAAAGCGTCGAGGTTCATTACGTTGAGCGTGTGCCTTAAAAGCGGTTTCCTTCTTGTCTCGCTTCTGAAGAGTGTCATACTCCCGGCGGAGCATCTCTTTTGCGTCTAACAGCGTCACGTTGCTGTGCGCCTCAATGATGCGCACCATATCATCATATTCGGATGATAAACTTCCCAAAAGCAAAACTATCTTTTCATCATCATCCATGATGTCACCGGCAGCTCCGAGCTTGAGACACAGCTCATCAAATTTTAGTAGATGGTCCATAAGACTCGCACCAGTCTCCATCACAAATTCATGTAATTCTTTCCGAAGTTGCACTCGGTTGTGAAGATTTTTCTTCGCAAAGAACGTCTTCAGAACCTCCCAAGCTTCAAACGCAGACTCACATTCCCGAACCATGCACTGATAGGTTGGAGAGAGTAGCTTCACCAGTACAGCCAGAGCCTTCATATCGGCGACTTTCCATCCGGGATTCTCCCGCAGCACTGCCGGCTCTGGCTTAATCAAAACGTGATCCAAAAGATCCTTGCGCGCGAGTGTCATGCGTGCATTAAATTCCCACATGAAGTAATTGTCATCCGTGAGGATGTCATTAGGAGCCAACGTATTTGGGCTCATAACCTGTAACGATAGCTCAACTACTTCACTGTGCTGCCAAATGAAAAGTAGTATTAAGAGTTAAACTACTACTAAAGTAAATGTATAAACCCTTCATAAACTGATCACACAATCCAGATCATTCGAAGAACACTGTCCATGCAAGTTGTCCTTTTCACGACACACACATCACTGACGTAATTCGTGATCCTCTACAAGCTTGACAATGATTGCCTACGCAGGAATATGAACATCGAGTCATCCAACCTGATGATTGCAGTGCGTACAGTTGTACAGTACACCACTTGTCGACCGCTTTCTGATCTCATTTGATTTCGTTTTGTCACTAGGTAGACTACACGACGGCAAACCTGGTGAGATAGTTGTGCAGACAAATGGCTCAATCGTTGACGATATGTTGCTGACGTGAGTTTTATCGTCGTGAAGACTTGCGATGGCAAGAACCTGCACTCTTTAGACCCCAGTGGGGAGAGCGTGAACCCGTTTCAGGTGTGATGCAGCTGCATCAGGCAGATGGTCGTCTCATACTGACTAATGGAACTTGGCTGCTGCTGTGATAGGATGCGTTAACTCGACTTGGTCGTGTGTTGGTGGAGTTCGACGATGATCGCAGTATTCAGGTCTGGGGCTTTGGTGATGCGAAAACACCAGATAACACAGTCTTCAGCTTCACACCTGATAAGCCAATGGACGGATGCAAGTGTTTCAACGAAATTTGGCAACGCTATCATGAGTTGACGCCAACGATAACGCTAGGGGAGGAGCCTGCGACCCTCGGACCAGTGATTCGTCACGCGTCTGCTGTTGCACGCAAAGTTACTGGTTTTCACATGCTGATCGTTCTTGTAAGCAGCCACTTGGCGGGCGAACACTTGGCTGATACTGCTCAGGCAATCGTAGACGCATCGACGTTACCACTGGGTAAGTTGACAAGCGGATCTTGTGTGGTATAGTCAAGGTATAACATTGCTGCTGATGTTGTTGTTGTTTAGTGATTATTGTGATCGAAATGGGTGATGGTCCCTGGGTACGTTTGACATGTTGTCCCTATCCTACATTCAAACACGCCTACGAGGAACAGTCGTTGACACCGTTTGTTGCATTACAGGACAACATGAAGGTGCTAGACGATCAGCTTCCTCAACGACAGTTTGACAACTATCACTTCGTAAGCTTCCAGAAAGTGCAGCACGCGGCCACAAAAGAGAGGAAAGCGTTCGTGCACCGTATCCAGGATGGCAATGCAGAGCGAACGGCAGCGCCTTGCGAGCTCGACCCACTGGATCTCCTATTCACATTACAGATCTTGATGGATGTACCGGTGCAGTACGAGTACATGTGTAAGTTAAATCTTCTCTAGTCAGCATGTACACCGTATCGAACCGACCACAGTCATTACAACTCGTGCATGAGTCAATTACTCAAGTACGTGATGCCCACATCAAACATAATAAAAGCCACTGTCCATTTGTTTACAATACCCCTTCATCTCCAAGATGGACTTTCATCGTGTTAGCATTTTGATTCGCGAAGTAGTAAGTGAACGAAATGAACTTGGAGCGTATCGATGTGTATGGGACACGGTTACGATGTCCCGGTGTTTCGTAGAAGGCGACAATAAAGACTGGTCGAAAGTGTCACAAGTCCATTGTCTTGTACTAGAATCCTCAGCTGCCTCAATGTCCAAATCACTACAACAAAACCAACTAATAACCACGAGAGAGGGGACAAGGCATGCGAAAAACAACAATCGCCAGTCTCCCGACCCCTTAGTCAATACGTTCCACATCTGATTTTGGCTCGACGAAGAGTCTGTAGTGAGTATGATTGATGCTGCTGGATCGTATCAATAGCGATATGTATAGTCCATGTGCTTGAAAAATATGCGAGACACACCTTACGTCTTAAAAGTTTCACGCGCTCCCAGTCACTCTGTAAGTTTAAAAATTTTTCTCTGTCCCATCTTTTGGGTCACATCGTCTTAGCCAATTCACTCAAGTGTGCATCTAGGAGTAAAGCCCCGATAACTACAGTAAAAAATGATGTCAACATCGGCACTTAATGCTCGAGTGACTAGTGGCAACTCTTCTTCTACTAGTATTGAGGTTGTTCTTAGTGACTGCACTCAACGTCAGGAATTAGCACAACGGCGATGGAATTTCTTGCGTATACACATTCGCACTACTCGCCGGTTAGTCCGTTGCATTGACTGAACTTTTCTTCATAGTGCAATTTTTTCACTCATTGTTGCGTTCGTTTCAAATGTTTCGAGTCGATAGATTAGCGCTCAAATATGCGGACCGCTTCTCGGTAGCTCAACAATTACTAGTGGAAGCGTGTGTGGACTGCATTTGCCACGATTCCCGTCCGCTTGACATGTTGCACGTAGTTTGGAATCAATTTCGATTGCTACTGGACGCTGAGTACTGTGTACTAAGTTTTGAGCTGTTGCCAGCGACGTCTATCGCCAATGGCTCACATTCCGTCTTGGAGTTTGACGGACGAGTCATTCGACGTATGCTAGAACAGGTTCTTGGTATGACTAGTGCAAGACAGAAGGTTCGTGGTGCAATGCATTGTCCAGTCTTTTTTCCAACCGCGAAAGCATGTGCTGAAGCTCACGTGGAACCTCCAAATGGCTGCAATCACGTTCAGGTACGCGGTGGATTGACTGGTTGGGAAGCACTATAGAGGCTAATGGGAACTGTGTTGATGACGTCTAGTCCTATCTGTGCATGCCCCTCGTTGACTGCAGCGAGCGTGTTCGAGCAGTAGTCGAAGTCTTTAACTCGCGGCACGATGTCAGGGACATTACTGCATGGATTGGAAAACCTGACTCGGAATACTCGCAAACGTTTTGCTTGCTCTTATCAACTAGCGAACCGCTTCGGTTCTTTTGTGGCTTTGTGGGGACGCTGTTGCGAACTACTTCGCCGATCAAAGCTTTAGTGAGCAATGTTAATAATGGTGGCATTGTGGACCCTATCTCATGCAGGTATCGTCGCTCGGGCGATCGAACGAGCGTGTCAGAGAGAGCCCCATTGCAGTTGTTGGACTTTTTGGAGCGAGCTCTTGGTGTCGACGGGTGGACAGTATATGCGCATGACCGTGAAGCTAATACTTTGTGGGCCTGCCTTGCTAGTGCTAGGCTCGAGACAAACATGGCGACTGTCGTGATGGGTCAAGGCGTCATTGGGCGGGCGGCGTCGACTGCAGAACCTTTGTTTGATGGTAGTGTTCTGTGCGTCCCAGTATTTGATCAAAGTCATCAAGTCGATAGTGTCGTTGTATTCTACGGGTCACAAGGGACAAAGCAAGATAACGGCGGAACCTTTAGACAGTGCGATGTGGAACTATGCAATATTGTCTGCGGTCACGTTGGAAGCTCGTTACAGCGCCAAGCACTTGAAGATGCGGCAAAAAAGGCGCAAGACAAAGCGCAAGCTTTGCTGGAGCTTTCCGATCTACTGTTTTGTGAACTTGAGCTATCTCCTAAATCAACGGCGATGATTCTGACAGTGGCGCGGGCAATTGTTAAGAAGTTGTGGTTTCATGTTGCGGAGTGTAACGTGTATTTGAGAGATCCGCTAATTTGCGAGCTTTACTCACCAGGCAATGCAACTCAAGGTGATCTCCGTGTTCGTCTATCTCAGGCTAGTAAATGTGCTATGGTTGCAGCACGTACTGGCAACGTGGTGAATGTACGAGATGCAACAGCGGATTCATTTTCGCACGAGCACCACTCGAAAACAGTTTTAGCCGTGCCCGTTAAGGATCCGATTACTGGAGCTGTGCTAGCAGTGCTGGAATTACGAGACAAGCATCTGATCAGCTCACAAGAAGATTCACAAGCTGCATCAGCAGCTACCAGTTTCTGCAAACACTACTTTGATCATAACGACGAAGACCTCGCAAGAGGAATGGCGCGTCAGGTCGCATCTGCATTGCGGAATACCCAGCGTCTCGATGCAGCACGAACAGCTCAGAGAAAAAGCGCTGCTTTGCTCTCTCTGCGCCTTCCTGCGTATACTGGAAATATGCCCGGAGAACAGGCTGGAGCAGTGTTTTCTTTCGTTGAGGCAGCAGCATGCCGAGCTTTGGAGGCTTCGCATGGTGCTCTTTTTCTTGTTGATGCACCAAGCCGTTCACTGTTTGCCCGTGTGGGTGCTGACTGGCGAGGTTATGCGCTATCAATCGGTCAGAAGTTACAAGGTCGTGTTGCTTCCACTGGGACAGTCATGCGTCTCCGTGAGGCTCGTACCCATCCAGAGTTTGACAGTGATTATGATCGCTTGATGGGTATGCAGACATCAAGTTTATTGTGCGTTCCAATCAAGGCACAGCCGTCAATGTCCTCATTTGTCTCCTCAGGAGCTTCTGGCCGATCTGAGCGCCGTTGCAGCAGCTTCAGTACGAGCAGCAGCACGGACGATGACAGCGATGATCGGCCAGTTATTGGCGTGTTTTATGCTGTTAACAAGATCAACACTAGCGGTGACACTGAGGGCTTTGATGCGGAAGACGAGCAAGTTCTGCGAGCAATTTGTGTTGAACTCTCTGCTCTCGTAGAGCGCCGTGCTTGGGAGCTTGCGTTTGAGTCTCCTTCGTACGAGGACAGTGAAAGCAGTGACAGTGAAACGGAGGGTCACGTGACGCGGACGTTCTTGTCGCAATATACCACAGCATCACCTGTGCGGCGTCGACGACGACCTCGTTCACGTCTTCCATCTGTCGTCAACGATCTCGATCATGCTGCAGCAGTTGTCGCTTCCACATCGTATCACGAGCGCTGCTTCTTGAGTAGCAAAGGCGGATGTGGGATGTTATCTTCGCTTCAAGGTGGCATTGGCCTTGCCACCAGACAAGGAATTCAAGGCCCAGTTTTACAATGGAATTTGGACCCGTGGCAGTTTTCACCGGCACAGCTTGTTGACCTTGCCGTGGATATGTTCGAGCTTCATGAATTGATGGACAGGTTTGATTTGCCTGAGGCCACTTTGCGTCGCTTCCTGCACAGCGTACAAGCCCAATACCTCGATGTACCGTATCACAACACGTACCATGCCTTCGCGACACTCCACATGACGTTCTTGATGCTCAGTGCACAAAGCAAAAAGCTTGCTCCGTATCTGATTCCTGCGTCAATTGCACTGGGAGTTGGCCCGACAACGAATGCTCAAGCCGTTGAAAGAAGCCGACAGAAGCGGTGTGGTCAACTGGTTCTCGCTCCGCGCGAGCGACTTGCACTTTTTGTGGCAGCTTTTTGCCACGACATGGGCCACGATGCCCGCACGAACGACTTTCACGTGAGATGCAACTCGCGACTTGCTCGTCGTTACAATGATCATTCAGTTTTGGAGAACATGCACGCAGCTGCATGCTTCGAGACCATGCGAAGGCCCGGCCATGATATTCTTGCTGGTCTTGAGGATAGCTCGAGTGATACTGTTGGCAGCCGTCGCGTTGTCCACAAGCGTATCATCCGTTCCATTCTTGCCACGGATATGCACCGGCACGCGAGTATCGTGGCCAAGCTGCATGAAGCACAAGTTCGTGGAAGCCGTAATGACGGTGACGCGTTGTGTGAGCTGCTCGTGGACGCTGTGATTCATTCGGCAGATGTATCTGGTCCAACTCAAACTTGTGAGCAGCATTTCCGCTGGACAAGGAGGCTGCTTGACGAGTTCAACGAGCAACATGCTGAAGAGGTTGAATTGGGCATTTCTGCGACAGCTTTCATGGATGGTCGACCGGACTCGGCCGAATTTGCAAGGGTAAATTTGGCTTTCGTTGACTCATGTGCGTTCCCTCTGTGGCGAGCAATGGGAGGAATGTTAGCCGGATTGGAAGGTTGTCTTGCAAATGTGGAGCGAAATCGTGCGATGTGGGCTACTAGGTTGGAACAAGCAACACAGTTAGAAGCTAACGAACGTACCGACAAGGTTCCAGCCACACCTTTCACCCCCACGAAAGAGACGGTCCCTGAGAGGCTAAACATTGCCATTGTAAGTGTCAGCACGCCGGAAACATGCGGCTAAACCTCAACGCCAAGTAATGGACAAACGTAGGAAAAATGCGACCGACGCCTCACGATACCTGCGAAAGGTCTTTGGACACCGTGCAAGCCACGGATACTTGTCGTGTTTTATAATCCAGCTTTAGTTCCAGCGAAAAAGTTGTAATCATTAGCATTTAGCAAGTAGGACGACCCCGCACGCCTAAGCATTATGATGCCTGACGCCACTCTTACAACAAAAGATGACATTGTAATATGGTTCTACTGGGTCGATATAGTGCAAACAAAGCCGTTTTTATTTCTCTTCCGCTGCTGTAGTAGACAGTCTCTTACTGATCGCCGCTCTAGAATTAGATATCGCTAGGGATATATGCATCCATCCATATATCTATTTAATGGCTTCGGTTGTCCTTCAAAGACAAGCAATCTAATCACAAATAGTCGAGTTCGGCTTAGCAGTGGTCACCGAGGACCTCTCGCTCCACGGTATCTGAGTTCGTGATGGTTGATGATGTAGAGGTGGTATTACGAGGTCGAGTGGTCTGCGGCCACGTTGTGATGTCCGGTCCCTCGGCAAAAATTGTAAAGCCGTCGGTCGGTACGGCTTCCTCCGTGCTGATGTTGTTGGCAAACCAGAGGAAGCGGAAAGACTTGCGAGTTGCGATGATACGGGAACCGCCGAAATCGACATTGTTGGAAACAAGTGACCAGCTTGGGACCAGCGACGATGGAATATGCCGAATGGCGTGACCTTCGTAGTTGCCGCCCGAGCCCGTAGTCACATAGTAGATACCTTTAGCGGTGTTCTTCACGTTTTTAAAGATCTTGGCAGTGCGCTCGTATGCGTGGACGTGACCCGAGATTATGGCGTTCACACCATTAGCCGAGAACACATCCTCCAACTTGGCCATCTGACCGCACTGCGGCTCGGAGTACGCATTGCCCGAGAAGTAAGTGCCATTCCAGCACTTTTCAGCATCGACGATTTCGAAGACGGTAGGAGAGCACTGGCACTGGTGGTCGATCCATGTGTTGTAGTACGGGTTGTGCCTAAACACAACCACCCACGGGGTAACGCTACGGTCCACGCTTTCCAAATCCGTCTTGACCCACTCAAGCTGCATGTTGCGGTCCTCCAGCCACTCGTCCGTGCCAACAACCGTTGCATTGACGCCGCGCGATCCGGTGTAGTCGTCCAGGAATACACAGTGAATGAGACCAATGTTTACCGAATACCAGGTGTGCAGCTTTTTCTTAGCTTCCTCGGTGATCGGTGTGTACACGCGTTTGATGTAGCCCAAGTAATTCTCAGCCTCCAGTTCCATGTCTGGTGGGTACGGGTACATGTTCAAGTGGCCTGACGACGTGATGGTCTCGTGATTGCCATTGATACCAATCAATGGGTAGGTTGATGTAAAGGACTGTTGTTCTGTAAACCAATTGTCCCATTGCGCGTGCAGTCCGTTGGCATACGAGTAATCTCCAACAATCACAAGAGCTTGGATGTGCTTGCCTTCGAATGTTTTGTGCTGTTCAGCAAATGTCGCCTCGGAAAAGGTTGTATCACCAGGGTCTCCAATCACCCCAAGAATGGTCTCCTCCTTGTCGGAGCCAGAATGCAACAACGACACGAACGTCCCCGTGAACTCCGAGTCACCAATAGTGTACGAATATTTCGTCATCTCGTCAAGATCACACAGTAGTGCTGTGTGTAGGAACGGAGACGTGTAAGCGTAGTTATGCTCAGCCTCCGACACCGAGTATTTAACAAAGGTGCTATCGGCCTTGACGGTGGTACCGTCGGCCGTACCAGTGACCAGGTACGACTTTGCCACATCCGTGGCGAAGGATACGGCGATACCATTGGGACAATCAACTGCGGAGCTAGAAACACCGAGATGGACTTGACTCACCTTACCAAAGGCCAATTGGACGGTCAGAGTAGCCGTCATGGCAACAAACGAGGCGATGCACTTGACCATTGCGAGAAATATTCAAGAATCAGTGTGAGCGAAGACGACCCCTATCGTGTTGTTAAAGCACTTGAGTTGTAGAAAACAAAATGCAAAGTGAATATATTTAGGTCCTTAGTTCACAAACTCTGTTGCTACTCTAAGCCTACTGGATTCTTCGACTACACGTTTCTAATCGCTATATCGCGCATTACTCATGGGATAGCCGCACATGGGTAATCTACTCTATACACATGACTCATCAGATAGTCACTCATGAGTAATCCACGCTAGTGGTATTACTCATTGGATAGGCGCACACCTAACTAATCAGACCGTACATTCTTGTGGTTGCCGTTTGCATGCCGAGTCGCTTCTTTTACAACATATCGTCCTGCGGACTGATGCGTCAATGTCCCATCTGGCTTGGTCTAGCACACTTGACTATCCTCTAGGCCATACACTATCATTTGAGATTCAAGAAGCCCCTTACTTACACTGTAAAAGAGATGGTCCATCTCGTCGGCCCAGATTTTTTTCAAAAAAGAGCGCTACAATCATCGA